TGTTCCACAGACATTTTCCTCTTTTGTTTTTTATCCGCCATCTCTATCTTTCTATTGCTCGGCTTGGCTAATGTCCATCCTGTGCAATGAGCGCTCTCTCCTCCACATCATAAGTAGACACGCCCCTTACTGCTGATTGGCTACATGGCTACATGGTCAAGTGCAAAGACCACAGAAAATACAATTGAAGCGTCTTAAAGGGGTCATCGGATGTGACATGCACTTTTAGAAGTTGTTTGAACTGAAATGTGTGTTGGCATTGTGTGTACACCAGTGTTTCCCAACCGGGGTGCCGTCTGTCGAGAGCAGGGGTGCCGTGTAAAAAATCCTTTTTTAATATTTTTAAATTGCTAAAATGTTCAAAAAAGCACCTATTATATAATATCCATTTCTGATGTCGCCAATAATTAGAGATGCACCGAAATTTCGGCTGCCGAAAATTAGTTCACCGCTCAGGTTTCACTATCACGTGGTGTGACGCTCTGCGTATTATCCCGCTCCGCTCAGTCGCTCTTGCCACAAGTTTCTTAAAATTTCCAAAGGGTGCCGCGACTAAAAAAAAGGCTGGGAAACACTGGTGTACACAACCACCCTATAATGATAAAAATCCACCCAGTGTTTTTTTTTTATCTACTAAAATCATAACCCCTTCTCAAATCAAGCCGTTCTGGACTGGTGTCTTACCTCAGACCCGCCCTGAGTGAGCTGTCATCAGTCCGCCATTGTTTCGACGCCGGAGCAGATGTAGACAAGATTGTCTCCTAAGCGATTGAGGTGTTTTGTTGTTGGATGTAATACTGTACATAGCAGTCGTCATTTACTCCCAATCAGAAGAGAGGGGCAGGTTGAGCAGAGCTCATTTGCATTTAAAGCGGCATGCGAGAAAACGGCTTGCTCTGAAAAGAGCTGTTTTTGGCAAGGTAAAAAGGGTGTTTTACACTACCATTGAGAAATTTTAACCAAAGTATGTTATAGACTTTTCATTAAGACCCTAAAAAAATCATATCAACTTGGGCATCCGATGACCCCTTTAAGTGTAAGTGCATTTAAGAAAAATAAAAGGCATTTAAATCACCATTTTGCTGCACATTTGGCTCAGAATGCATTTTGAAATTCACACTGCATTTTGCTACAATTATCACGCGGTATCACGATGAAAATGCAATCTCAAGTGTCCTACCCGTAAGTCTAAATGCATTTAGGAAAAATGCCATTTAAATGATAATTTTGCTGCAGTTTTTGCTTGGACATGTTAAACATCTAATCAATTTGGGTAATACAATTTCATTTTAATTTTGCAACTTATAAAGCGTTAAAATAAGTTTTTAATTTACATATTAAAACTAGTGTAGAAAATGGCAAATGTAAATTATATAATTGAATTTTTATTTTCATTTTGCACTAAATGTGGCACATATGTATGGGAAAATGTAAATTTGTATACAGAAATACATTGCCATTTTACATATTGCATTGTCATTTTGCATATTACATTTCAAAATGAATTTTGTTACCCATATGCTTCCATACAAACAGGGGCATGTCTACTTGGTGGCCAGGGGTGGCACCGGCCCCCCTCTGAAATGTGGCTGGCCACCCCAGGTGCCCCCCCTACCAGATGTCTTGCGATTGGCTTGTTTTTAGTAAATTTCTAACTGCATCTGGCAGTGGCGGATCCTGGCATGTGTAGGCAGCTGCCTAGGGCTGCTTTCTTCTCTTCTTTATACTTAATTTTAGACGGTTTCTATAGTGTGATCTTAATGACAATGTTGAGAGCGCATAATGTTATGTATGCGATCCATGTAATGCGCAAGGACGAATCTCTCCACTCGCAAGCAAATTTCCTTCACTCACACAAAACTGGACGTGTGCTTTTAAATATTGTTCTTTTATGAATTGGCTCTGCTCTCACTCAGATTTTGCATGTACACGCTCAAACGTTGTCTTCGCATCACTGAAGACCAGAAGAGCTTTTTTTCTAATTCAGGTGAGGAGTAGGATTATCTCACTAAATGGAAGCAAGCTGATATAGTCAGCCTTCTTTAGTTATTTATTTTATTAATAGCCTACTTATTTTAGTGAACTGCTTAAATTGTAAATATGCATTTATTCAATTATTTTATTTAGTGCATTTGTATTTTGTTGTTTTTGTATATAGTTTTGCAATAAAAGCGTATCAACCATATTCCAGAAATAATCACTGAGGGTGCTTCTGAAATTAGTGAGGGTGCTCTAGTCTTAATGCACATTTTCACATATTTTGTCCCATCTATTACTATGGTTTTCACTATGTCAATCACTGTTACTTCGAGAGTGAATCCCGCATAAATATGCAGACATCATTCCCGAAATTTTGCAACGTGTGTACGTGTGTGTGGCCGAAAAACAAAAAGAAAGCTTGCAAAGAGTGCTCATAACCACTAAAAAGCTGTCACTCTTTGTTTAGTGATTGTATACACAATGTATTATAACATACATCGTTCCGCAAAATTTAATTTGTTTAAAACGAGAACAAATATCTTTCAATGAGATATGAAAACCTTTGAATTAAATTGATTTTCTGAGCCAATTGGCAGATAATATTTTCTTTTTTCTTTTTTTTTTTAAATCATAACCTCACTTCATTTTGATTATTTTATCTGAAAACAGGACTATCATTTTGTGTTTTTGCTTCCCAAGTAAATGTATCTTGATTTAGGAACATTTGCAATGGTGTAGCAAATTAGCTCAAAAGGGAATTATATTTATAAGTAATTATAATTGGTTATAATTAATTATATATATTTAGATCAGATCTTAATCTGTTCGTCCACCGGCAGTATAATCATTTATCAATTCTAGGAAAGGTTATTTTCCTAGCCAAGAAAGAATAACATTTAAGGGTCTACCAGTCATACCCATCTTGCAGATTGACCAATGTAGAGGTGTGAATTTTGAGCGTGAGAGGTTTCCTTTGTCTCACGCACAGGAATACACTATATACATTTTGGAACAGTTTGATTGTGTATAAATGGAGTCAATGTCCTTTCCTATGTATATTGTGGCTTTTGAGTATGTCTAGGCCATGGTTAGTGGCTTCTCGTGGGGATGGGGGAATCGTTCCTTCCCCCCCTGGAATCTCTTTGAAGCTCAAAGAGAAAGTTGACGACTGTCCCTGCTAGCGTTGGAGCAGATAGCAGAGGTGATAACGCTCTTTGAACCAGAGGTGGACATTAGACATGCATCTGTAATTGCATCTGTAATTTAGTTATGGGAGTTATAGTTATTAGTTAAGGGAGGAGGGAAAGTTTACGATGCCTAAAACCCAATTGAACATCTTGATTGCATTCAAACGCTACAATGGAAAACAAGACAAAAATACATAGCAAGAACAACACTCTTTTTTTTTTGCAGTGTGATCTGAAGGTGCAGTAAAAGTTATTTCCATATTCCATGTCTGTGTTTGTGAGCAGAGCTATTCAAATCCATGTTTTTTTTTTCTTTGTAAAATAAATTTTAAAAAAATGTGAAGAGATGTATTATGTATTAATTATGAAGTTGGAGATAAGTTATGAAGTTATTTTCAAAATTTTGAAGTGTTGATAATACAACTAATTGCACTTTAGACATGTACATTTAGAAAACATATTGACATATTGTATTCCTTTTAATGTATTCCTTCAATTTTCTTTAGTTTGTTCTAAAAATGTCTTTTATTCAAGCTGCAAATGAGATGTATAGGTATCTATGAGATTTGAGGTATACTACCAGTCAAAAGTTTTTGAACGGTAAGATTTTTAATGTTTTTTAAAGAATTCTCTTTTGCTCACCAAGCTTGCATTTATTTGATCCAAAGTACAGCAAAAACAGAAAAAAATATTTTCACTATTATCACTACTAATATTTTTACTATTTAAAACAAATGTTGTATATTTGAATATATTTCATATAAATAAATATTATAAATAAATTTATATTTCATATAAAATGTATTTATTATTATTATCATTATTATTATGTTGAAAACGTGAGTAGAATTTTTCAGTTTACTTTGATGAATAGAAAGTTCAGAAGAACAGCATTTATCTGAAATAGAAATATTTTGTAACATTATAAATGTCTTTATCATCACTTTTACTCAATTTAAAGCATCCTTGCGAAATAACAGTATTCATTTCTATAATTTCTTTCTAAAAAAAAATACACTGATTCCAAGCTTTTTAATGGTATAGTGTATAATGTTACAAAAGCTTTTTATTTCAGATAAATGCTGATCTTTGGATCTTTCTATTCATCAAAAAATCCTGAAAAAAAAAATTCCTCAACTGCTTTAAATATTGATAATAATTATAATAAAAAATGTTTCTTTAACAGTAAATCAGCATATTAGAATGATTTCTGAAGGATCATGTGACACTGAAGACTGGATTAATGATGATGAAAATTTAGCTTTGATCACAGCAATAAATGAAATGTTAAAATATATTGAAATAGAAATCAGTTATTTTAAATAGCAAAAAATATTTCACAATATTACTGCTTTGCTGTATTTTGGATCAAATAAATGCAGACTTTGTGAGCAAAATAGAATTATTTAAAAACATTAAAAATCTTACTGTTCAAAAACTTTTGACTGTTAGTGTATATGTCCCTGTTGATCACATCAACTCTTTATGATAGCCGAAAGTACTCATCTAACTTTATCATGTTTTGCTCCTGTGATTTGTTCTCAAATAAATGTCCTGTTTGTTAAATCAGAGAGCAAAATAAAGAAAAAAGGAATTGGTATTAATGATTTAATGATGATGTGATTCATATGAAGTTTGTTTTAATGTCTCACCTTTCAGCAGGAGCTCTGATATTTGGCTGTACCATTGCCCTGTGCTTTCTGATAAGGGACCTCATGTTTTACGTGATTGGTAAGTCAATCACTTGATACCATTATTTTTAAAGCTTAATTATGTAGTTCTAAAATGTGATAAAACAAATATTTGGGTCATTCCACGAAATCTGTGCCTTTTGTGTCCCTAAGAAATAATCAAACATAGATTTAATATAACAACGAATAAATTTGCAGTTTAAAAACATAATACTATGTATTCTTTCATCAATATTACATCAAAAAAAGTCAATAAAATATTATTTTAAATAATTTAAATATAATTTATGCTGATAAGGGTAAGGTTTTTGGCCTGTCCCTCACTATGATTTTTCTTTTTCAGCAGGACTTTTAATTTGCAAAATGAAGGCAAAATTATATAAAAATCACATTTGCATATTGTTTTAAATATAGTCTCATTGTTAAGCAATGTTTTTGGCATAAGTATGCATTTTTTCTATAAAATTAAATAATTTTATTGGTGTCCCCTGATTTCGTGTCAACCTTGTTACCCTCATCAAAAAACACTTGTAAAATAATGTACATTCAAGTGACATCACTTCTAGGAGGTTACATAATCTCTCAACCAGGATTCCAGCACTTAAAACACAAGCATGTTTCTCTCTCACTTCTATAATATTCTATTTTTGAAGATTTATGAGTAAATTTAAACAATTATTTATTACATTTAATATAATCAATATCTACAAGTAAAATCCTTTCAAAGTGAACAACATGTGCTTTTGTGAACTTGACTATTAGATAGAAATTAGCAAATTAGTTTGAAATGGTCAAACCTGTTACTGTCATCCCTGTTACTTTTCAGGGTAACAGGTTCTGACGTGGGTAACAGGGATGACATAGATTAGGTGTCACCCTGTTTTTAAAGATTGTCTGTGTAAAATGCAAACATGTTTAAAGGTCACCCTGGGTGTATTATTGAGCTAATGCCAATATCATTCAGTGACATATGAGCATGAGTTACATTTTAGTTTTAGTTTTGTTACTATTACTGTTGTTGTTAATGACCGGGATAGGATGATCAGTCTCAATAAAACTCATTTTTTCCCATAACTCATCGTCAATAATGCATCCATGTAAATTCAATTACAAACAAAATCAGCAAGATGACTGCACAACCCTCTACGAACACCTTGGCAATTGAATCGCCATTGGCTAGTAAATTTTGTTTACTCGCCAGAAAAATGGGGAAAAACTAACAATAATACAGATAAGATAATAATAATAATAATAATAATAATACTTAGAATTCTACTAATAAGAACAATATAAAATGCACTAAGGATTAACGAGCTGTTGGATTCATGAATATTAATCAGGTTGTGTGTGTTCGCTCGAATTGATTTGCTGAAATCAAAACAGGGATGATAATAGGTGAGCGCCAGCCAATGAGATTGTTTTTTGCGCATTAGTTCCGCCCACTACTGGAAAACCCGGCAGTTCTTAAATGCTGAAGAATTCCAAAGGAACATACAACAAAGAATATCGTTTACATGTAGCGCGTCAATTCTGCATGGTATGCAAGACTCTCTCGCTCTCTCTCTCTTTGTGTGTGTGTGAGACAAAGTGACTAGAGTTCACAGTACGTCAAATACAGGTGCGCTGCACATTCATTCAGATGAACTGAGAAATATCACAGATCGCTTGACGGAGAATGAAACTCTGAAGCGCTCAGTCAGAGTGTTCGACGAGTAAAAATATATCTGTGCTAAACTTATACTTAGCTTCCAACTCACTCACTGGCGAGTAAAATCTGAGAATTTATTAGCCAGTGGCTAATATTAGACATCGTTTAGTCACCCAGAGTGAAGATTTAGTCGCATATGCGGGTGATTTACTCGCGATGTAGATGGTTGCTGCAGACCTTGACCCCAGTCTTGCAATGTTCAAGAAATTCAAGATTTTGGTCTGGTTTCAGATGATCACAGAAACACCCAGATCTGATCATCTTTCTTGCCTAATTGAACCAGATCAGTATATTTGAAGTTCTGTGAGGGGACACAGACAAACAGATGGAACACATTGTCTAATTACAATTCCCTTAGAACATTAGATCTCTTAGAAATGTAATGTACTGAATCAACAATGAACTGACTTAAACTGAAAAATTGACTGTTTACTATTGTCATACAACTATACCAAGGAAGTGCAAAATAATATAATGCAATTTAAAATGGTTAAATTGTACAGTATTATATAAACAAATATGTGCAGTGTGATGAAGAATGTGTGTCCAGTCATCCCTGTTACTCTGGTCAGTCCTGTGACTATGACGTCAATCCTGTTACTGTCATTAATTTAATAAAAATTGTAAAAAATGATATTTGATACAGCCTTACAGGTTTTTCCATTGTAACTTTAACTATATTTTATTTTGGACAAAGCCCTTTTTTTAAATGTCTCTCTTGTAAAAATATATTTTTTTCTTAATTGACATGTGGTGGACCCATTTTTATTTGTCAATGAATAGCATGATCTATGATAGTACTGTATACTGTATGTTATCACAGTCGTAGAAATGTTACTAATTGTTTAATTAAGCTATTTTGTTTAGAACAAATTAAAATACTTTTTGCCAGTAGGACATATATGTTTATATTTCCAAATAATAATTGTTTTCTGGATTCACTGCATTAATATATCATTAAACAGTCAATTCATCATTTACTCACTATCATGTTGTTCCAACCCTGTATGATTTTTTTTTCATGAAACACAAAAGAAAATTTTTTTTTATTACATTTGGGATAGCTCATTCCTATCCAACAAACATATGTGGGGACCATGGGCTGTCAGGCACTAGAAAGTACAAAAAAATATTTTAGTTTGAAATTGCGTTCCCCTCTTGGGGGTTCCCCGCTATCTAAAGCCACGGTCATACTAGACTTTTCGTTCCATTGACTTCCATTCATGCGAATGCGTCAGACCGGAAACACAAGCCCGTGCGAAGATATTTCGAATTTCGCTGCGTAGCAAAGTTCAATTTTGGTGAACTCTGACCTGCAAATTCGTGTCACGTGAATGCGTGATTCCAATAGAAGATCAAAACGTCACAAAGTGACCTCTCTCGGCACAGAAATGGAGGAATCGCTAATTTTAGCAGTGTCGCATCATCCTGTTTTATACAACACAACTTTAAAAGATTACAAAAATCACATAAAAAGAGAAGCGGCTTGGTTTGCGGTGGCAAGGGAAACAGGAGCGGATGGTACGTTTGATCAGTGAAACGTATAATTTTATGTGATTTTTTTTTATTACATGAGATTTGTATTTGTGCGTGTGTGTACTTGATTAACTATACTTGTGACTGATTGTAATCACTCAAATAGAAAAGAATTATGACTAGTGAGGATATTTTGGCGCGTGATGTCATATCCGGCTGCTCCCGCCCCTTTTCGCAGCACCGTCCGAAGTCTAGTGTGACCGTGGCTTAACGTCGGACCCTTGGAATCGTCCTAACCCCCCCCCCCCCTTTATTATATTCATAAAAGAAAGATGCAGCTTTACGATTCTCTCTGAAAACAGCCGAGCTCCTGGAGGCGTGCCATGGGCGGAGCTTAAGAGTCACGAGCACTTGTGTGCCGATTGCCAACAAAACTTTCACTTTCCGCCTCCGGTTACGAATCATGACCAGGATCTTTTATCGCTGAGACCGCTCCATCTTTCAGTATCAAGCGATGTGCAAATCCAGTGCCAAACTGGACCTTGTTTATAAAACATTCGTCACCGAAATGACGGGAACACATACTTGTAAAACTCCGTTGCTGCACCAGAAAAAGAAACAGCATTCACGTTCACGTAACGCTGGGTTCTGTGGGAAGCTGAACAAGATTATCTTTCCCTCACATCCAAAAACACACTCCTTTAGAGACATTTTTCTTGAGCAAGTCCTGTGCAGCGCTGCCGATGATGTTGAAGGGCATGCTCTCGCCCTCCCTCTGGTCGATATGTGCACGCGCTCTTTTGGGAGAAATGCCCATACAAGGAATTGCTCCCTTCATGATGTCATGAATGGCCATGCTCGAAAAAAAACTTTCTGAAACTTATACGAACCCGGAAGGAGTGTATTACTCCTACAGGAGTGTATAACTCCTATTACTTACTGTATAGAATTACTCTGTCATACGTTCAGATCGTTTTTTTAAACTTTGGCCATGTTTAGCATGAGAATCCAACTCTTTAACACTGTAGATAACTCAGACTGCATTAAATAGCATTAGACCTCCCCCTTTAATGATCAGTAATTTAATTGATTATTTGATAATTGTAGATTATTTGCCATGTATAATTTAATATGTCAAGAACAGTAATGAAACAAAAGAAATTAAACTTAAACTAGAGCTGAATATGTTGCAGCCTCAATTTCAGTCAGTCTCAGTCTCGGCAGTTAACGGTAAAATGTAATGGTATTGTAAGTGCAGCTTCTAACACCAGAATGAGTCAGTTAACATACCACTTATAAAGTCAGAATCCAATCTGTCATGCCTTAGAAATGGCAGATATATCGCAGCATGCCATAGTAAACATTATGGTGGACAATTTGAGAAAATAGTATTGGAATACTTCTTTAAGGTGTTAATGATTTTCATAATAGTATTTTTCATAATAATTTTGATTCATTTGAAAATACAAAATGTGCAACCATCTTTCCATGCTTGTAATCAGATGTGTTTAATATCAATGAAAGAGAAACTTAAAGAGCTTCCTGCAGGTTTCCGTCAAAACAAACTTTTAAAAATTATGAAATTAAGACGGCCATAAATATGAATATTGTAATTTGAAAGTTGTAATTCAAAATAAAATCATTACTATTATTACATAACTTTTTCTTAAATATATTTTGTTTTAGGAAACACTCTGCTTTAAGTATAATTGCCCTTTCCCTATGTTCAGTTGTGTAGCGCTCAACCACTGATAATTTTTTTCAACCACTGAAATGTTTTTTTCAGCCATTGAAAATTAATTTCTTTAAAGGTGCTATATATGATTTATACATGTATCATTTGTACAATCTATTTGTTATATAAAGATTAGGGCTGCCCCATAATAGTCAACTAACCGTTAGTCGACCAGAAGAGGTTTGGTCTACCAAAATTGTATTACTCGCTTAGTCGCAGAAAATAAATAAAAATCTACATTGGCGAAGTCACGTGGATCGTTAACAGCTGGTCTATGTGGTAATACACTAGTAGGCTACATCGGGCAGGACATACGCTCGCCTATCATTCATCAACCTCAAATATGGCTTATTATCTGAAATATTTAAGTAGCAGCAATGTTACATGGCCGCTCAATCTAATGTTAACGTGGAAAAATGTGTGTTGTTTAAGTGTCGATGCAGAGAGTGAAGAGTAGCGCGCTTACCGCATGGCAGATGGAGGCGCCGGTGCGCTCACTTGCTCTTAAAATACTTCCTCATTTTTGCTCTTACAGATAAGAGTAATACATCTTTCAAATCTGTAAAGACTCTACGTTTATTTGTGTAGACTCACAATAACAACAAAACGCACTTTTGTAAAATAATGAAAGCAATCAGGATGTGCTTTCTGGCGTCTCAGCAAGGAATTTTGCGTTTAAAAGACGTCTATTAGCCGTCTAAACACAACCCAGACGTCTAGGCTAAAACAAGGCTAAATTTAGGCTGTCAGTGAAAATTTAATAGACGTCTAATCATAGCCCAAGAATAGACTAGTCATCAATTAGACCGCTATTAAACGACTACATATATATGTCTCATAGACGGTGAATATGGGTCTAGGCTAAAACAAGGCTAAATTTGGGCTGTCAGTGAAAATTTAATAGACGTCTAACCATAGCACAAGAATAGACTAGTCATCAATTAGTCCGCTATTAAACGACTACATATATACGTCTAATAGACGGTGAATATGGGTCTAGGCTAAAACAAGGCT